GTGGGGGATGGGGGTGTGGGGCGGGGGGGGTGAGTGTTTTGGGAAACACTTTTTTTTGGGAAATATGAAGTTTTGGGGAAATATGAAGACACCGTTGACTCAGGCCTCATTCAAGCAGAGCTTAATAGTGTCCTGGAAGGCATGGGAATCCACTTAGAAACAATTATGGATTATAGTAAACTATCACAGGAACAGCCATTTTTCTCTAAAAAGGCATTTTGTCCTAAGGCCTGCTACCGAGAATCATGGAGCTCCAGGCAACTTTGGTGTGCGGTCAGAAGGTGGCTGCTTGCTTGCGGATTCTTCTGAGTTCTGGCTGAGTCATCTTATCACCCTGACTGTATTTTGCAAGCATACAATAAACCCCTAAGTAACTCGCTTCCCTTTCCCCTAGCTGAATGCCCATGACCCCTTCCTTACAAGGCTTATCATTCATGTCTACTCATTGACTTTTATTTTATTTTATTTTTTAAGAAGATTTTATTTATTCATTTGACAGAGAGAGAGAGAGAGAGAGAGTTAGAGGAGAGAGCACAAGAAGGGGGAACGGGAGAGAGAGAAGCAGGCTCTCCACTGAGCAGGGAGCCCGACTCAGGGCTCGATCCCAGGACTCTGGGATCATGACCCAAGCTGAAGGCAGATGCTCAACTGACTGAGCCACCCAGGCATTGACTTTTAAAAAGTAAACTTCTTATTTTGAGATGACCATAGATTCACATGGAAGAAATAATACAGAGAGATCCCATGGATTCACTCAGTTTCCCTGGATGGTAGCTTCTTGCAAAACCATAGTACAATATTTCAGTCAAGCTACTGACATTGGTACGGTTAGGGTACAGACTGTTCCATTATGTCATGTCACCTTTTTATAGCTACACCCAATTCCTTCCAGCCCTCACCCCTTCCTTAAACCCTTGATAACCATTGATTTGTTTTCAAGTCTTACCATTTTGTCATCTCAAGGATGTTGTATGAACAGACTCACGCATTATCTCTGGGAACTGTTGATTCAGTCTCTGCAGATTCATCGAGCTTGCCGCCTGTCTCACTAGTACGTACACGTTTATTGGTGTGGATGTACCGCAGTATGTTTAACCATCTACCTGTTGACGTACATCTGGGTTATTTCCAGTTTTTGGCTTTTGTAAATAAAGCTCTGTCAACGTTCATGTACAGATTTTTATGTGAATCTAAGTTTTCATTTTTCTGGGTTAAATGCCTGGGAGCGTAACTGGTGGGTCCGTCGGTCGTTGCATATTTGGTTGTCGAGTGCAAAACTTTCCTGGAGTGGCTGTACCATTTTATATTTCTGCTAACAATATATGAGTGCTCTAGTTTATCTGCATTATCATGAGCATATGGTACTTTTTAAGTTTTTTTTATTATGTTCAGTTAGCCACTGTATAGTACTTGATATTGTCACTACTCTGTCTTGTAGCCATTCTGTAGGTGTGTGGCCGTATCTCATTGTCCTTTTAATGTGTATTCCCCTAATGACTGATGATACTGCATTTCCCTAATGACCGATGATACTGTCTTTTCACAGGCTTATGGGTCATCTGTATATGCTCTTGGGCGAAATGTCCCTTCGTGCCTTTTCCTCATTTTCTGATTGGATTGTTTGTTTGTTTGTTCAGTTGTTGGGTTTGGAGATGATATATTGTGAATTATGTATTCTAGATACTATTTCTTTGTGGGATATGTGGTTTGAGAATATCTTCTCCAAGTCACAGTCTGTCCCTTCATTCTCCTAATAGAGCATTCTGCTCTTGATGGGTGGAAGTGTTCTGTAAATGTCAGCTAAATCCTGTTGGTTGGTGATGTTGATGAGCACTGCTGTATCCCTAATTTTCCGTCTGGTCGTTCCAACACAGGTTGGGAGAGGACAGTGTGGGTTTGTCTGCTTCTCCTTCAGTTCTATCAGTTTTTGCCTTGCGTGCATTTAGAACTCCCTGGTGTATACACATCAGGGTTTCTAGATCTTGGTGAACGGACCCTTCCATCATGATGTAAGATGCCTTTCTGTCTCTGTTGTTCAGCCTGGGTAATTTCTCCCGTTTCCTCTGTCCCCTCCATTCTGCTGCTGACCCTATCCACTGAAATGCTTAAATTGGTTATTGTATTTTTGGTTCTAAAATTCACATTTGGTTCATCTTTATATCTTCTCTTCCTTTGCTGAGACTTTCTACTTCTTGGCTATTTATGAGACTCTCTATTTTTTTTTTTCCCCATTTGTTTCAAGCGTATCTGTAATTGCCTGTTCAAGCATTTTTAGGGTGGCTGTTTAAAAATCTTCATCAAATATTTCTGGCATCTCTGTCAATTTGGGTTGGTATCTATTAACTTTTTCATTCATTTGAGATTTTCCTGTTTCTTGGTATAACGAGTGATTTTTGTAGAAACTTGGGCATTTTGGATATTAAGTCATAAGACTCTGGATCCTCTTTAAACCTTTTGTTTTAGGTGCCTTTCCTTGACCTGAGTACGGCAGAGGAAGGGGTAGGCATCCCTTCATTCCTCCACATTAGGGTAGAAGTCCAGGTTTTTAACTCAGCCTCTACTGATATCTGAGGGGTGTCCCTTGTTATCTGTGGGTGAGCATGAGAGCTCCAGTGGCCTGGTGAGGTTACATGGATCCCTCCCTGCCTTGTGGGCAGACATGGCTTCATTACTGCAGGGTGGGCAAGGAAGTCCAGGCTCCCCATTGGGCCCATTCCAGCACTACTCCTGTAGAGAGGAGGAGAAAGAAAAGTAGGTTGGGTGCTTCACTGCAGCCCTGAGATGGTGGAAATCCAGCTTCCTAGTATCCTTTGGTGACATGGGTGGCATTGGGGGTCAAGGTTTTTACTGTGCTGCTTAGCTGTGGTTGCATGGTTCTTACCTACAACTTTTTTTTATCTTTTGAGGCTTTCCCTTTCCCAGTCCCTTTTCCTTTCCCAGACCCTTTGCTACAGAGTGGATTTTTGTTGGGACTCTTTTGGTCTGCACCCATGCATCATTCCAGGTCCCTGGCTTCTTCAGCTCTAAGTCTGGGAATGTCTGAGGCACAAAGAACACCCACAGAGCTCCTCACTGTTATTCCTAGGCAGTGTGCTCTTCTCCTTCCACATTTCAGAGTCTTAAGTTTGTGTTATATGTAATGTCCAAGGCATTTAGTTGTACTTAGAGGAGGAATAGAGAAAAGTGTGTCTACTTTGGTCTTTCTGGAAGTGGAAGTCCCATTCAGTTCACTTTTATTGGCTTTATTTTAGGTCAGTCCCTTTTCCTGCCTTGAGATCTCAGGGCCCAAGCTTCTTTAATCACACGTGGATAAATTTCTTTGCATGGGGAGAGAAATTAAAATCCCAAGCCTAGGAGAGCTCTGTGCATTGGTGGGAGGGGGTGGAAGTACTTCCCACATTTCAAGATGCACATTGGGAGCTCTGTGGATTTCTGGCTTGCTTTAACTCAGCTTTTAAGGCCTGGGGCCAACCCCAAAGGAAACAGGGATGTTCCAATTGTTCACTAAGGGATCTTTATATCCTCCAGAGGGAAAAATAAATTCCCAGGACACAAGAGGAAGTTTCACCCAGAAATTTATAAGAACCTGTAAGTGGCCCAGAGGAGCAGCTCAGGGTTGGGAGTGAGGGTCCCTTCCAGCTTGGCCTGGCTTTTGAAAGTGTGGCTTTTTGCTTTTGACTCCTGAGGGTGAAACCCATCTGTGATACTTTCCTGGAGCCAAGCTTCTCTGGGCTTCATCCTTCATGAGTTGGCTTCCTTAAAACCCTACTCCTTTGGGAAATGTAACCTCAACATATAACAGTCTGTGTTTCTAATCCAGCTAGACCTAGTTGGGGATCTGGTTCCGTCTTTTGCTAGCTGACCTTGACGTTCAGTCATCCACTTAAAAACCATCCTGTTGTGCCAACTCTGGGCCAGCCACCGTGCCAGGTTTGGGGATAAAGTAGTGGGTACCTTTCATTTCTCCCTTTGCTTTACCTTCTAGCCATGAGCAAGTCATCAGCTGGTTTTACTTCAAAAAATATATCAAAAAATTGGACTACTTTTCCCTATCTCCTCATTTCCTTCCCGGGCTGTTAGAATAAGTTCCTTGATTCTGTCCTTCCGTCTAATTCTTTGCCTCAATTCATTATCTACACAGCACCCAGGGTAATCTTTTAAAAACATGTACCAGATTAACATTCTTTTGTTAACTCCCTCCAGTTACACTCAGACATACTGAGGATGAAGTCCAGCCCTCCTCAAGGCCCACTGGGTCCTGCATGTTCTAGTTTCCATGTCTCCTCTGATCTCATCTGTATCCCTTTCCTCCCATCCAGTGGGCTTCAGTCATGCCAGACTTTTCCCTCTGCCTGAGAACATTGAGCTTGTCTTACCCTTGGCTTATTACGCTCGTTATGCTCTCTGCCTCGGATAATTTTCCATTCAAGTTTGAATGGCTGGTTTCTGGTTGTTATTCATTCAGGTTTCAGTTCAAATGCTGTCCCATCCCTGCTCCTCCTGTCACATTTTATCCCGTCACCGGGTCCTCACCCTTGCCTCTTTGTTAGCACTTACCACAACTGGAAATTACCTGGATTTGTCTACTGGACTGAGCTCCATGAGACCAAGCATCACTCTCTTTCCTTCATTGCTGTCCATCCAATGTCTCCAACAGTTCCTGGCACTGAACAGTAAATGTTTGTTGAATAAAGTTGCTTAATCCTCTGGGGCCCAAGTTTCTCTCTTGTCACATGGAATAATAATTGGCTAACAGTACAAGGTTGTAGTTTGAATTAAGTGAGATAATACATGTAGGAGAAGTACTTAGTACAGTGCTTGGCTCACAATAAGCCAAATAAGAGTTTGTCATTGTTTCCTTACGATTATTTATATTATAATGTTCTTTTCCTTTCTCACATGCTCCGGAGTTTGGGCATTTGTCAGTGGCAGATGCTGACTGGTTGGACACTTGAAGTAACATCCTAACTGGGTTCTCTCTTGACCGTGTTTTTCTACAGGTTCTACAGCTGGGCTCAGACATCCTTCCCCAGTACAAGCAGGAGGCCCCAAAGACCCCCCCGCACATCATCCTACACTATTGTGTTTTTAAGACTACGTGGGATTGGATCATCTTGATTTTAACCTTCTACACAGCCATCCTGGTTCCTTACAATGTCTCCTTTAAAACCAGGCAGAACAACGTGGCCTGGCTGGTTGTGGATAGCATTGTGGATGTCATCTTTTTGGTGGACATTGTGCTGAATTTTCATACTACCTTTGTGGGACCAGCTGGGGAAGTGATCTCTGACCCCAAACTCATCCGCATGAACTACCTGAAGACGTGGTTTGTGATTGACCTTCTGTCCTGTTTGCCATATGATGTCATCAACGCTTTTGAGAACGTGGATGAGGTTAGTGCCTTTATGGGTGATCCAGGGAAGATTGGTTTTGCTGATCAGATTCCACCACCCCTGGAGGGGAGAGAGAGTCAGGTACATGCCTCAAATCTCAGACCTTGTTGTCATGTCTTGAAAGCTGAATAAATGTGGGTGGTCAACAGAAGAGTCATTACGTGGGTGGGAACTGGCATGGCTGATGCCTGAAACGGAGGGAGCATGCTTGATGGATAGTCTTGCCTGCCGTTTTTGTCTTTGGAGGATTGGAGGCCCTGCATGTCTGTGAATGGATGTGGAAGGGATCAGAGGCTTCCCTCTTATTTCATGTGGAGTGCAAGCCACTGGCTTGGGGTGGTGGGGCTGCAGAAGCAGGCATGCGTCGCCACTGCATTGGAGAAACTTCCACTTGGTATGCAACTGCTGAATGTCTACCTATTGATTATTCTAATTATGGGGATTTTTCTTTCCTCTGCGGCTGACCTTTGGCTGTTTCATAACTCATTAACTCCTGCCAACGGGGATGCTGTTTTCCCCCCAAGTTTGCTTGCTATTTTTTTTTTTTTTAATGTTGGCAAAAGTTGTTTCTTTGCTAAAATGAGTCTTGGCAGTTAACAGTGGTCCATAGTGTCCCATGTGTAAATTTGCTGAAGTAGTCAGGCTACGGTCAACTCCGGCCCTGTGACCAGGACGTGTACTATTGCTGGATGATGCTGCTTTCGATTGTTAGTCCTGCAGGCGGTGAAAGGAATGAAAAGGAAGCAAATGCTCTGTACATGTGTTGGAATTAGGACATGCTCAAGCAGTCGGTGAATGGGTGCCTGTGTCATGTTGCATAGGAAGGAACCACTGGGCTGGTTCAGGTGATTGTCTCCTTTGAAAAGGTGAGGACATCAAGTCATCACAAAGGAAAATGTCAGATTCTTATTCAGCTTCAGTGTTCTATGGGTGTTGTCGTTCCTTTTTCCTACGCCTCATTGATTCTCCAACTGGATAAAGATAAGGTAGTTTGGTAAATCTTCAGCCTTATAGAGCAGTGGACCTTCACTGCCTCGGATGACAGAGGGTCCCAGAAGTATTAGTCTGGCTGGGGGGGTAGTTGGGTGGGTAATTCAAGAAGCTACCTGGAAGTTGCAGTGAAGCAAGATTCATTTTCAGGCCTAGAGGGTTAGTGGGAACTAGCCTTGAGATAATTGGAAGGAACAGCCAGTTCCCTGCCAAGACAGGGCCTGGCCAGTGACTCCGACTTGCTGCTGACATAATGATGCCTCCCAGCCTTCAGATCAGTATCAGTAGTGGAGGTAGACTCCAGCCTCTTCCTGGGTGAGAACCCAGGTACCTACCACTTCCCTCCCCAGGGAAGGGGAGCTGATGTTCAGATGCTCTAAACTCAGAACAACCCCTGCTTTTATCTGTGTGCTGTGTTTTAATATACTGGGAAATCTCAGGGACTGAGGCTCTGGGTGGCTTGTGTGGATTTTTAAGGGGATTAAATGAGTGAGACTGATCATGTATAAGAACAAAACATCTCTAACGCGAACGCTGGGATTCTTTAGTGTGAATATGAGTACACTTTGGGAAGGATATTTTTCTCTGTGAGCCCATTTCTAGAAGATTTTATGTTAGTTGGTGAGGAAAATATGATCATTTTGGCTTAGATTACACAAGGGAATTATTTCAACCTAAAAGAGCTTTTTATACACATATGGGAAATTAAATTTAACTTAAAAAAAACCTCTCAAGTTTTTAAAATAAACCATTTACTATTTAGAGCAATAGCATGGAAAATTTGCAAATAAATAGAACAGTTCTTCGGCTTTCACAGGTTCTTGTTAAACATGGGCAGAGCCATAAACACATTTGTTAATGTGTCAAGATTACCTTGTCCCTTAGCAAAGCAGAGTAGCTCCCCTCAAGCACTGTGTGTGTCATGGTGGCAGTCCATTGCCATCGACTGTGAGTACCCCTGATGTGGTTTCTGATTTCCATAGTCATGAAATAGGTGGGCAGATGGGAAAAATGCCAGTTATCCGTAGCTGTCTAGTTGGGAGGGGTTTAGTGTCATAAGTAATGATAAGAGTATTAAGGGGCTCTTGTTATGATTTGTTTCCATGAAGACTTGATTTTACGTTTCATAATTTCTTTTCAAGCTTTGGCTGACACCTGAAACAATGCCTTTTCATAACATCTGTTGTGGTGTGTGGGAGTCAGCGCCAGGAAACTGAAGATTTGGCTCCTGGCCCTCTTGGTATCACCTGTTAGGATAGCTGGGACTTTGTGCATGCCATTTAACCTCTGTGGATCAGTTTTCTCCTCTACACCTTAGAGACCATGCTACCGACCTGCCTGAAGACATGGCATTTGGGCAGGAGATTATTTGAGTTCCCTACTAGCTGCAAAGTGGGTTTGGTGAGTTCTCAAATCTCATCTGCAGTCATCTCACTTCAGAAGCCGATGATAAAAATGAGAAGCCCTACACTTTGAGCTCCTACCTGCAGTGGAGGTGGGAGGGAGGTGGGATGGGATGAGAGCTCAGAGCCCAGGACTACCGTGAAGGTCACCCAGTTCAGCCCTCTTAGCTCCCAAATAAGAGAACAGATGCAAGGGCAAAGTGACTCACTCAAGATGACATAGCAAATCATATGGCCACGGCAATAATGTGTCCCTTTCTGACTCCTCTCTATTTTTCATGGTGACAGAGTGGATAAAAATAGGGACAAAACACTGATGGACACCATTGACCAAAACTGACCAAGAAGCTTCCAAAGTCTGAGGCTCAGCCCTTGGCCTGGTAGTGGTGGGGATGTTGGGCACAGTGTCCAAGGAGGCGGGGGGGTGTCTCTGTGTTGCTCCCAGGGCAGCTGTGTTAGTGATGTGACAGGCAGTTTAAGATGCTCACAGAGGGACAGACCAAGCATGGTTTCCTAGGCATAGGCCTTTTGTCGAAAGGCACCATTAAATTAGTGGAAATGGAAGGCTGGTGGGACTTAGAGGAGGTCGGGGAGGCCACAAAGGGTGTTGTACCTGTCGAACCTGGGTATATGGCTGGGTGAGAGAATTCCACTTAATGGTTTCTCATCTACTGCCTGCTGTCTTCTTGCCCATACTCTGTTGGTGGAGTTGCTAATCTAAGATTGCAACTTCCTCTGCTCTAGTCCCTTTTTCTTTGGGAGAGTGTGGGGAGGACAAAAAATTATTGACTCATTTTTTCATAAAAAAATACATGGAACTGAAGCCTCTCTGGTGTCTTCTTAATTATGCCAAGGGAATTGTGTCCCAGTGGAGACCACCAAAGAAGAGAGGAATGTGCGGTAGTGGCTTTGCCATCTGTGTGTGCTGTCGCGGGTGGGTGGGGGGGTGGAGGCTCTTGAAGTGAAAGGACTAGATTCACCCAAGGCTTAGGGTCAAGAAAGAAGCGGGTTAAATTGCTAATGCCAGCAGTTGTGAATTCAGCCCTGTGGATGTCGCCCACCTCCATGATTTAAGCCACACAAACGCTCCCTTTGGACTCACCTTGTTTCACTTATGTAGATGGTCTACATTTGCGTCATTCTCCAGCCTGTTGGTCATAATCTGTTTTGGAGGCTGTTTGGGAATATGTTTGCACATTAGTTAAGCTGGTGAGAGCACAAAAGGTCTGGAAACTGGGTGAACCGAAGCTGGCCCTGGGTCTGCCAGAGCAAAAGCCAGATGAGTTTTCTCAAGCGCTTAGTGGATTACTGGCCTGGTGAGCTTCATGGATTAAAGATGGAATTATTATTCACCAAACATATTCCCTTTCCCCAGGAAGCCTTATTGCCTCCTGCCATTGGAGTGTGGAAGTGCCCAGGGACGAATGGAGCCAATCAGGCTCCCACCCAGGTTACAGTTCTGGGGCCAAGAGCCTCCTTCCATCCTTGGCTCTGTTACCTTGGACAGCAGCCAGTGGTGTTGCCACAGCTGACCCTTGCCAAGAACCTGCTCTCACAGGAGATGCTCCCGGTAGAGCAGAACAGGAGCAAGGAGTGGAAAGATGAATAGTATCGACAACAACTTCCCTTTAGTGAGGGTGTTTAACTTTCCAAAACATTTCACACAGATTATCTTTATTCTTATTCTTCTGTCCCTTTGCTACCCAGCTGGGCAGACTTGTGCAAGTGTTTCATCTCCCTGGACTTTGTTTGTCTCACCTGCAAGACGGGTCATTCCCAGCTCTAACCTTGAGGCCCCTGTGCAACTGTGGTCCCAGCTTCGCAGCTGAGGGGAAAGGGCCTGGCAGTGAAGTGTTCAGGCAGTGAAGCTGAGCATCATTCTGGCTTTTGGCCTGCACTTTTCCCCAGGCAGGTCATGCTGCCTTGGCACAGAATCTGGAGCCAGAGAACCAGGCTGTGCATTTTTGTCCCTGAGTCCCCCTTTTCAAATCGTTCCCTGGCACAGTCACTTCTCCCTTTTACACAGCTGACAGGTGAAATGTTTGAGTGGCCGGCATGGGTAAGTCTCTGTAAAGGTTGCTGGTCCATGTGCACAAGGCTGGACAGTGAAGGTGAAGGTCAAAAGTGACTCCAACATCAGGTTGCCCCCCTGCTTCTCTCTTCTTGGGAGATGGGCTCCTCTCTAGGTTCTCCTAGGTTCACTGTTCCTGGCTCTTCCAGGCTTTCCCTGATGCTGAAAGCAAACGACCCCCATGGGTTGCTCGTCCTATTAATTGGTGACCATCAGTCCTACTCTGTGGTTTTGATTTAGGTGGATGGACACCAGTTTAATTTTCATGCAGACTCTTCTGCTGTTACCTGAAAGTCATGAGGTGACCTGGAATTTGCTTCCTTAGGATCCTAGCAATAGAGGCCATATCCATGGCTTGCAGTAGCAATTAAAATCAAGACTTTTTCAGAGCAATTTTAGGTTCATAGAAAAATGGAACAAAAAGTGCAGAGACAGAGTTTTCCTATCATTACCATCTTGCATTAGTGTGGTACATTGATTACAGCTAATAGTGATACATTCTTACTAGCTTAAATTCATTGTTAATGTTGGGGTTTACTCTTTGTAGAATACATCCAAAGGGTTTTGGCTAATAGTTAATGACAGAGCTCCATCATTATGTGTTATACATAATGTCC